TAAGCCCCATACGCAATACGCAAATGAACAGTTCTAAGGAGGTAGGAAAAGAGAGAGAATAAACGTACAAGAGTGGGAAAAAAATACACAGCACTGCATACTGAAAATAACAACAACAACAATAAAAAGAATTACTATTAAAAATAAATATATAATAAAAAATAATAAAAAAATGAATAAAATAAAATAAATACATAAAATAAAAAATAAATAAAAAATTTAATTAACCCATATAACCAAACAAATGCAATTTATTCTTGGAATTGTCAGGCTTGAAAGCTGGTTCAGCAGGTATGTGCTTTCTCAATGTCAAAAAGCACTTGTGAAATCTTAATTTCCCAGTCAGTGAGAGCTCCTGCTGTCACTGATTACCCAAACATCAACCTGACTACAAAAAGCTTCTTTAACAAATTAGAATTCACCACAGTTGTTTCTATACTTAAGAAAATTGGAGAGAAATATGCCCTGCTTTTGCGGTTCTAACAAGGTAAAAAAAAAAAACCTTATAAAAGTTGACTTATATGACTCGATTGCCCTATATGTACTGGCAAAACTCAAACAAACTCTTCTGTCCCCAAACAAAGGAGAAGAGCAGGGATGATCTGGGTAAATGAGGGACAGAGACACAAAGCCTCAGAAACACCTGCACTCGTCAAAGGCTTCATTATTTTGAGGTGGACATGCTGGGTATGACGATATATGAGGTATATGAAAAACAAATTGCTTGAACGATTTGACGAATTGACTGAATTATGCTCAAAGATTGGATCATTTTTGGCTATTACATAATTGACAATAATGAAGAGTTTTGATTGCTTAGCTTTTTACGCCTCGTTCAACCAGCCAACTGCAATTTAAAGCCTGAGGTGTTTTGGGGTTTCAACAAAAATGATGAAGAAGGTAGTAGTCTTTTAAAGTCAAACCAAATCAAGTCTCATCTTTTTTGGAAAATATGTTTTGAAACCTTATCATCCTAACTTCATAAAGACAACATAAAAGACTTCTACTACCTCTGTAGATTCCAACTACACCGAGATCCAGTTCCTGCCAAAACTCTCTCCAATTTATTCCAAAAATCACACTGTTAACTAACTTTATTTACCACTTGCACATCACCGGCATATTATAGCTGCAAAATCATATTGTAAATAATTATCAGCTCTACAATTCTAAAACGTTAAGAGATTTTTTTTATCCATACAATTTTAAAATCACCATCAGCATGGAGCCTCAGTGGGAGCTGGCAGCTCATTGGCAGCATATCGGCACTGACTTTAGATATATTTTTAAATGTACCGTGGTATAATTGTGGGAAGGATGAGGCTCTTACCTTCCCTTTTATTTACACTCAACCTCTCATTTTTATTTTTGACAGGTATTAGCCTACATACTTCTTGACTCTTTTTGACTTGCGCCAACTGACGCCTGTAAAAGAGTTCATTCATCCAGATACAGAATGCATGAACTTTCTTATTTAAAAATCCTTGACAAGAAAATAAATGTAAATTTAAATGCAAGAATCAATTATCCAGCCCATTCAGATTCTGTCAGCATATTTGAATTAGTAATGGGATGAGGCAGGATGTCCAAAAACAACATTAGATGAGCTTAACAACTTCATCTGAACTGGAATTCTAAATTCTTTCACTTACTGCATTAATTAAACATTAAACGATGATCACAGTGACATGGGAGCTCAGAGAATACAAACATCAGCATCTCGTTAAAACAGTGACTGTGCTCAGGATATATATATATATATATAAAAAAATAAAATAATGTAGAGCCTTTTTTTCTCAAAAGATACAAGCTCTGCTTCAGATTTGGTAAAGAGTGTGTGGGAGATCCGGAGACCCTTGGAGGTCAGAGAGCTGCCCACAGCAAATGTCAGGGCATTATGAGCTGAGGGTACCGCATGAAAACACACACACACACACACACACGCACGCACGCACGCACACACACACACACACACACACACGCATAGTTTATCAGACAGAACTGTCTGGTCTCAATATACAAAAACACCAAATTGATGCCTTCAACTTTTAAGTCTGTATATTTGTTTGCAGGGATATTAATAGCTTTTGATGCAGTAATCATGTGTGACCTCTGCTGGTGAAGTCCTGTGGCAGATTCACATGGAAAATGTATGTGACACAAAACGACTGCAATTCACACTACAGGCGACAAGCCCTTCACAAATGAGAAGATCCACGCAAAGCAGCCAAGAAAAGCAGCATCAGCTTTAAATGAACTTTTGCTATGATTAAAAATAATTTAATGATATAAGCAATTGAGAAATTAACATGTAGATAAACCCATGATGATTCTAGACCCTCTTTGACTACTTGGATGAAATGAATAATAATAATAATACAGCAATGATAATAATAATTTTTATTATATAATCTATTATTATAAATACAACTGAAAATGCATTAAAAAGTGAGTACAATGCATAATTTCACTTAAAAATAATATAATTTATTATTTATAATATTGAAGTTCCGATCAAACACTATGAACCTGAAGTGCTAGTTAAAACTTTTGGTTTAAAGTTTAACGCGTAAGCTGGAAAGGTTGTTCGTGTGACGAAATGGCTGTTGGCGAGACTCCACACAAAATACACGCACTTTTCACAAGCGTCAATTGACGCAAATAAATGTTTCCTCGTGTGAGATTCATCCCGAATTTAGGTTGTAGATGTCATCAAATAATATGACATATTATTATTATTAATGATGTTGTTGAACACATTGAATTAATTCAATGTTGAACACATTTTGTAATTGCTTAATATTTTTGTGGAATTTTTTATTTTTTTTTGAATTATTTGAGTAATAGATGAGTAACAGTCTGACTGATGCATTAATACATTATTGCTGATAATGGGCAACAATAGTAGAAAGGTAATGTTTTGAGAAGCAATTGGGCAATGTGCTATTAACAGTGTTTAATTACTATTATTATGGTAATGGTGCGATTGCTCACGGTTGTTTACCTGTATTGCCAACGCATTCGCTCTTTTTATTATTAAACAATAAGCATTAATTTTAGTTAATGTAATTACAAATTAAGTTTTTATTAAACTGTCAATAAAGAAGAGTATCTAGAAGTGACTATACGTATAGTCGCGTCGTATGCAAATATTCAAGCTTACTTTGATCAGATTCCCATTTTTATAGAAAGAAACGTAGCCTACAAGCTTTGTTTTACGCATAATTCTGAGCAAATACACTATTAAAGTTAAAGAAAGCGTGAGAGAATACATATCTTAAGACATCAGACTTTCCCTCTTTGCTTTATCAGGTACTGCAATCTGAAGAAACCGATCATCTTACCACTTGAGCGACGGACAATATTTTCCAAAAAAGTGTTCTGTGGTGCCACCAGTCCTCTTTTTCCCCCGTGCATTCTGCGGTCGGGAAGTGTCGGTCAGGCTCGCGGACTTGGTGGAAGCTGGTCGTAAAAGTGATGCAGGCGGGATGGGAATCTATCGGTGGGATGGAGAAGATCATTGTAACGATGCGCCGTGCCCGACTGTTATGGGTCCTTTGTACCACAGAGCGCTCGCAGTTCTGCAGGCTCCGCGCTCCCCTTCTCTGCGCCTGCGCACTTGCAAACTGTAACAATAAAATTTGACTGGCACAGGAATCTCGACATCGATGCCCGATGCCATGGAGATAGTCTCATGCAACAGATGGCGCCAATTGCGCGCGATTTAGAAACATGAAAACTCAGTCAGAGTTAGCCTACTAAAAGTGAACTGAACACAGCAGCGGAATGCTATAATTCATGAACAGGGTGAAGGAAGGAAATCTTCGCGCAATCTTAATGGTGTCAGACTCAGTTGCTTACAGACTTGCCGACCTCAAAATTACGAAAACTGTCTATGATAGTTTCTTAAAGCCTTATAAAAGTTGACTGGCTGTCCAGGCTGTCTCGTTTGCCTTAATTGGTCTGACAAAACTCAAACAAACTCCACTGTCCCCAAACAAAGGAGAAGACCAGGTGAGCTGGGTAAATGAGGCACAAAGAAGCCTCAGAAACATCCAAGTGCAATTTAAAGCCTGGGGTGTTTTAGGGTTTCAACTCAAATGATGGAGGTGAGCCACAGAGCGTGTTCTGCAGTCAATAAAAATTGCCTGTGCCATGGGTATGATAACCCATGCAGTCATAAATTAATAATATCATCTTAATTGTTCCAAACTACGCCAATATCAACGGTGAATATTTTATAGCCTAAAACTTTCAATGATCGTTCACCAATTCTGCATGAATTACCCTGAGGTTAAAACAGTGTATCATCACGAGATTGCCGCTACTGAAAGAAAAGGAACATCGAATAAATTAATTTGAACGAAACTATAGAAATTATTCTTGACAAACATGAGTGAATTTCTTCTTCTGAATTTCTGAAGAAAGAAAGAAAGAAAGAAAGAAAGAAAGAAAGAAAGAAAGAAAGAAAGAAAGAAAGAAAGAAAGAAAGAAAGAAAGAAAGAAAGAAAGAAAGAAAAATTCATGAAAATCCAACACAAGCCATCCTTCCCTGTGGGCTGTGGCGCCATATTTTCGGAAATGTAGTTAGATTGGGGACGTCCTCCCTCCCGCCCCTCCTGTGCCGCTGAAGTCCCCTGTCTGAGTAGACTGTGGACAGAGCCCCTATTGTTCCCAGCCCACTCCTGCCTAATATGGAATTTCGCAAGGAAACCAATGCTTTCCTGACACTGACGATGCGTAGAAGCGTAGGGGTGAATGTGGAAAGCTGTTTGGAGTATGAAGGGGAGTAGGCTAAACCAGGGTCACAGACACGGCTTTTGTATTGGTTTTGTCGTCGGACCTGGAAAATGTAAAATGACGGAAATCAAGTTGTAGGAGTTATCGTGAGTTTTCATGAAGCTGCTCTCGATGGCGCCGGATTGTTTCGGAAGCGCGAGCTAAAGCGGTCACCTACTTGACGAATTTGCCTGCTCACCGTAAGACACGTAAACTGTTTAAACTAGTCAAACCAAGATAAACGTCTCAAAGATTGAGATTTCTGTCGACAGAAGACTTGGCTACCTGTGGTGATAGTTTCTGGACTTGTCCAACTACCATGCATACTCTCAGCTCAAAAAGTAGGCAGAATGCAGTGGAAGCGGTTGAGGATGGAGGCAGTAACAGCAATCGTGTCGATACTACGACCAAGATGATGTTGAAATGTGTTGTGGTCGGCGATGGAGCGGTGGGAAAAACCTGTTTGCTGATGAGTTACGCAAATGATGCTTTTCCCGAGGAATATGTGCCAACTGTATTCGATCACTATGCAGGTAAGTTGGTGTCTAGCTCAAAGCATTCAACTGCAATCCCTGTTCATGAAGTGAAGTTTACAGCATGTCTACTTAATCCTTATAGTCTACCCCATACAGTCGGGTAAGGGACGGTCCCAAGAATAGCCGTCTGAAAGAGGAGATATATCAACTGCCAGAGCGAGGACTGCAGGGCCGACAGACTAAAAAGTAGAAACGGGGTACGGGGGGAGGGTCTGCCTCCGCAAATTTAGGTTAATCAACAATTATATAATAATGCAAAAATAAAACTGTTTGTTATGATGTGCTTAAAACTTCGTTAAGGTAGTTTCTAACTGTGCTAGGGACGTCAAAGACACTTTATGTGAACCGCGAGAGGGGTAAATAGCAGCGAGCTGCGTGTCAGAGCTCGCGTGCCGGTGTTGTGCCGAATTTCGACCTCCTGACAAATTATTATCCCCATCGTTGAAGTCAGTATCTGATTGCCTAATCCTAACCCCTCCCCCACAACTAATCCTAATTTATTAGCCTACTAAAGAAATTCGGCACAACACCTCTTACCTGTTGATCACAGGAGCAGATCGACGAGATCTAAACGTCAATACCGTACTTAATGCATCTTTGTGGAACCACAGTGTTTTGTACAAATGTGTTGCCAATCATTAAGTTTGCCATCTGTTAAGTTTTTTTTTTCTCGTTCTCTCACGCATATGGACCTCAGCATAAGGCTTTGGTTTCTTTGCAAGGAAAGCCCCCCTGATACATGCATGCTCTGAGAATCATATGAGGGTCAAGTCCTAATTACACAGTGGCAGACAGGTCAGCTTCAACATCCTCTGAGAGTGGTACAGCTCTGTGAGAACAGCAGGGCATTTCCCTCATAAATACAATGTATGCCAAAACAAAGAACTTATAGGAAGAAATATTACCAACAAGAACTTTTACTATCAGTTTTCCCTTACAGTTCTCCCAAGCACTCCACAATTCTGCTTGTTATGCTTGTTAACACTTTTAAAGTGATGAGTGCTACTAAAGTAGACCTTCCCAATGCAATGCTTGGCTTGTTTCTTTTGGTGTTATTAGCAGTGGGAAAAGTTATCATTTTTACAGACTAGAGAGAAAAAAGGAAGAGAGAGATTGTCTTATTTCCAATGTTTGCAAAGTCTCTTATCCAGCGATCTTCATCTTCAAATGATGAATGGAAAAATCTTTGTGAAAATTTAAAAATATATATCTTTATGGCTCTCTCATTTGTGAAAGCTCTAGAACTTTAAAGCAGGTATTGTCAAATTATTTTCTTTCCTTTTTTTCTAATGTGCAATTTGATCAAATAAGGCATGTTTATCTGGGCAATTTCCTTTTTATGAGATTTGAATAGTATCCTGTGTTGTAATTTTCTCCAGCTGGTCATTGCAGGCTCAAGACATAAAAACTATGTACATAAAACTAATTCAAGGAGTGAGTAAAACTTTTAAACTCTTGGCAGTTGAATGAGATTGTAAGATTTTCAAGGAGTGTGATTCTTGGTCAACTCCTCTGGTTAAACGAAGCTGATGAGTTATGATGTGGAGGCCATCCAGAGGACACTTAAATGGATGTTGTCACAGACCAAAAATGTTAATGTAAACATGTTAATGAAAAAATAAGGAATGAAGAGCCAGACAGAGCAGCATCTAACCTTATGGTTTTTAAAGGTGTGGTGTGTATTTTATTTCAATGTTTAAAACTTTCTCATATCCTTTTTTTTCATTAATACTTCTATAGCAATATTTTTTACAATTCATTTTGCTTATGTTAGTGGTGCATAAATTACACACTTCACCTATAAGGAAATGAAACGGTGCTCATAAAAAATAGAGGACACATAAAGGCATTTTTATTTGGTTCCATTATAGTGTGCTGAAAACATTGAATGCATGGTATGTAAAAGGTAGAAGCACTCAAACACTTTTTAGGTAGAATGCCATCATTACAGTACATGAAAGTAGAAATGCGTGTAGGTTTTAATTTGGTAAAACCCTTTAAGTGTCCATCAAATACTCGGTTGTTCTATGTTGAATATCAGCAATTGAGATTTGCATTAGAATTTATTTTTTGGAATACTTTTATATTGCCCATCCAGAAAGAGGTGTTTTTTGGTATCAGCACTATACAGCACTTCCTTGTATTATAGAGAGAGTAAAAGGTAAATTGAGAGAGAACAGTAACAATATTCTTCTAGTGCCAATCAATCACTTACATTCATATTAGGTCCCACTACTGTCTCCACATTGAGACGGGCCTTAACACTGCATCATAATAAAGTAGTGAATTGTCACATAGTGGCAATGTCCAGGCTAAAGAGCACAGAGCTCCCATTGTAGGCCACTGAAAGCTTTACTGTGCTGCTATGCTAGAATTGGTCTTAAATGAAAAACTGCATTTATACCATTCATGCTCCAGCAGTAATTGAACAGTTTGCAATATAACACATTGGGAATACTGCAATCAAATTAATTAATAGTGAAAATATAATTAAAAAGTATGCGTCTTTTTCAAAATGTATGAACTGAAATTGTGAACTGAGGAATCCAAGCAGCAGGTATTTGGATATATATTTATATTGTTTAAATATTTAAATCAATTAAATACAGTTTTGTTGGTAACACTTTACAATAATGTTCATTAGTTAACATTAGTTAATGTATTAACTCAGTGGTTCCCAAACCTGTCCTGGCGACCCACCAACACTGCACGTTTTCTTTGTCTCCTCAACTCATTAGCTCATTAACCCATGTGATAATGCGCTGATGAGTTGAATCAGGTGTGTTTGATTAGGGAGACAAAGAAAAAGTGCAGTGTTGGTGGGTCGCCAGGACAGGTTTGGGAACCACTGTTAACTAACATGAACTAACCCTGAGCAATACATTTGTTACTGTATTTGTTCATCTTTGTTAACGTTAGTTAATAAAAATACAGCTGTTCATTGTTTGTTCATGTTAGTTCACAGTGCATTAACTAATGTTAACAAGATTTTAATAAAGTATTAGTAAATTATTAAATTAACATGAACAAATATTAATAAACGCTGAATAAGAGCAGTTCATTATTAGTTCATGCTAACTAATGTAGTTAACTAATGTTGTAAAGTGTTACCGTTTTGTTTTAATATATATATTACTGTTCAAAGTTTGGAGTCTGTAAGATTTTGTGATGTTTTTGAAAGTCGTCACTTATGCTGCTCATCAAGGTAATATAGTAGTATATATAACGATTTAAATACACATATAATTCAATAAACATTAGTTATTCTTATTATTATCAGTGTTCAAAACAACTGCTCAATATATTTGTGAAAACCATGATACATTCATGTCAGGATTTTTTTTTAATCATGTAAGTCTTTACGGTCACTTTTGATCAATTTAATGCATCCTTGCTGGATAAAATTAAAAAGAAAATCTTACTGAACCCAAACTTTGAAACATGAGTGTACTGAAGATGATATATTTTAGTAAAGCATTTCACCTTTCAAGCTAGTTTGTTGTTTAAACAATCTATTCTTATTTGGTTGTGTTGGTGGCTTACATACCGACTACTTTTGCTGACATAACTCTGTAAATAAGGCCAAATATAATATATTCATCAGGAGTGAACTGACATTATATTCTTTTCACCAGAACCACTGTGATTGCAACCTATTAGAGTCAGACCTCAACCCAGGAGTATGTGGGACTATGGTTTCCGTCAATAAATCCCATGGGATCAGAATTCCCTTGTCCAAAACAAACCGATGACATTCCCGGGCCATGACACAGTGCCTGCTAATGTGTTTGAGATGAGTCATCGTCTAGTGTGGCTCCCACTAGACTCCTAACAAAATCAACTAATCCGCCAATTATATTGCATTGTAGATATTCCAACATGGACAATACTGAAATGCCATATAGCTGTAAAGCTAAAGTTTTTTTTTTTTTTTGTCAGGGGCAGGATAGGAAAGTGTCAGGTGTGGGGCTGTTGAAAGGAGCGAGGACTCAGGGGCAGAGTTGATGGGCTTTTATTTAATAAAAAAATAAAAACTACCCCGAGGGGGAAAACAAGAGACTAGACTAGATAACTAGGTAACATTAAATGATGTTTTATTAACAAGGTTCGGGAGGAGCAGGTGCTGATAATTAACCCAATTAGCACAAGTGGAGTTCAATCTGTAATCAACTCAGGATAGGATAAATAACAGCAGAACCCACCGTTGTTCCTTGGCAGTTTATCAGCATACCACCTCCACCCCATCTCCTCACTTATACCCCTTTTCCACCAACGCATTTTAAGAGCCGGTTCGGAGCCGGTGCCTGCGCGCGAACCGGTTCTTTGTGTTTCGACAGCCAAAGAACCGGTTCTCGGCCAGGAAAATTGGTTCCAAAGCGGCACCAACTCTTTGCTGAACTAGAACCGTTCTTTTACCACGTCATGCCTACGTCGGGGGCTGGGGGCGGGTTTAGATAACATATTTTCTGACATAATATAGGATCGCAAAGCCAGGAGAAACATTTGCAGAAACACGATGTAGTCCGCCATTGTAATTGTTATGCTTGAAGTTGGCGCAAGCGTTTCTAGGTTTTTTTTTTTATCAATTTTTTTTATTGAAAACGTTATGTAAACAAAGGAGAAAACAGTCACAATATAGAACAAATAAATGGAAAGAAAAAAAATACACAAGACAGGAGTACATAACTAATCAGAAAAGATTACATATCAAAGGAAAAGATTAAAAGACTCACATATTTCAATTGTTTTTAAAGCCTTCTTGGTTCACGAGTTAGAGATAATCCCAAAGTAATGTTGTACTTGCAAGCGTTTCTAGCTAAAATGTATGGCGACGTACACAGTGACGTAACGACGTCGTTCGCCTGGCGCTCTAGTCAGTGGAAAAACAAACAGGTTCTGAGAAGGTTCGCAAGTTGAACCAACTCCGAACCAACTTTGAACCAGCACCAGTTCCGAACCAGTTCTTTTTTGGTGGAAAAGGGGTATTTGTTCCATCT